ATGCTTCCTGCCCTCTGGCTGCTGCCTTCACCCTTACCCCGCCCCCAAGGTGCAGGCAGCCCGGGGACCCATCCTGAGGGGACAGCAGAGGGCACATGGGTCCTTGGCCAACACGTGGGTAAGGCCAGGTCCTGCCTTTCTGGCTTCTGTTTATGGCCCTAATGGCCGCCACATCCTCTGCAGAACGACTTCCACCGAGCCATCCTGCGGACGCAGTCGGCCATGTTTAACCAGGTCCTCATCCTCTTCTGCACCTTGCTGTGCCTGGTCTTCACGGGGTGAGTGCGTGGCCACAGATGGGAGCCCCCAGGACATCAGGTGACTCAGGGGTCTAAGGCCGGTCCTCGGGGCAGAGTCAGGGCTGCAGGATGAGGGCACAACACCCGCTGCAGACGCTCACTGCAGGCTCTGCATCCCAGCTGTCAGGGACAGGAAGGGCCACCCGGTTGTGATTGGGGTTGGGGAGGTGGTTGCATGCCCGCATCCCCAGGCACCAGCAGCCCAGAGGCCTGGGACACCCAAGTCTGGCTTCCAGGTCTGCCCTCAGGCACCGAGGAGGGGGACCAGCCCCTGGACCAGGTGGGGGCCTTCTGGCTGAGGCCCAGCTGAGGGCAGGGTCTGGAAGCTGCCAGGGTCAGAAGGGGGGCACCTGGAGCTGAGAGGGCCTCCAGCCCACCACAGTGACCCCAGCCATCCACATCTGCACCTGCCTGTTCTCCCACTGAGAGTTCCGCATTGCTGGCCTGTCCTGGGTCCTGGGGAGGCTTGGGCACCATCTCCTATCTCTGGGCAGGGATGCTGGGGCAAGCACCAAGCCCAGGGGGTCAGGGAGGATGTGTCTTATACTTTCCACCGCCTCTCCTCACAGACCCCAAAACACACACACACACACACACACACACACACACACACACACACACACACCCCTCAGTAGGCAGGACCAGAGTCCCTGGGGAGAAGGCCCAAGTGACTCGGGGGACTGAGCCGAGCACCCTCCAGCAGCCCATTCACCCTCCATCTGTCCACCCCATGCTGGCACGTGGGAGTGACCCAGCCCTGCCTGTCAGACCTCCCGGTCTCAGGCGTGGGAAGGTGGCTTGTCTGGCTATGCCATGGCCTAGTGTGCCCCACCCTGCCTGGCCTCAGGCATGAGTAGGGAGACTCTGGGGACTGGAGGGCCAGGCGCTGTGCTCACCCTCACACTGAGGTATAGCTCTGCACCCCATTTCCAGGGACTCTTCCAGGGGCCTAGGAAGAGCCTCTGGGCAGGAAGGGGGCTCAGGGGAGTCAGATGTGAATGGAGGCTGGAGTTTGGGCCAGCTGAGTTGTCAGGCAGGGCCTGGGACAGGTAGGTGGGGCTGGGGATAACTGTCTGGAGTTGTCACGCACCCTGGGCTCAGACTCAGACCATTGGGTGGGCCGGGGTTACCCGCCAGGGAAGGGGCACACAGGCTCGGCCCACTGCCCTGTCATCCTGGTGACTCGGTCTCCTGGGTGTCAAGGGTCCCGTGGGCAGAGCCTCACCCCCCTCCCCGGCCCCCCAGGACCTGCGGCATTCAGCACCTGGAGCGTGCGGGCGAGAACCTGTCGCTGCTGACGTCCTTCTACTTCTGCATTGTCACCTTCTCCACCGTGGGCTACGGTGACGTGACGCCCAAGATCTGGCCGTCCCAGCTCCTGGTGGTCATCATGATCTGCGTGGCTCTCGTGGTGCTTCCACTGCAGGTGGGGCCCTGGCTCGGGCCCGGCACACATCTGCTGTGACAGCAAAGGGCGGGTGCCAATGGAGGGACCGCTGGGGTTGTGGCACATGGGCAGGGCCTTCACAGGCGGGCTGAGTGGGGGTGGGGTGGAGGCGGGCAGTCGCAGGAGGGGGCGGTGAGGCTGATGGGGCAGCACCTGCTCCTCAGGGGGCCCTGCTGAGGGTCTGCATCGGGCCTGGCAGTGCCCAGGCGGTGAATGAGGACGGAGTCCATGAGCACAGCCCTCTCCTTAGGGGAGACAGTTGTCCTCTGGGTGCCCGGACCCTTACAGAGGGCAGAGGGCTGCCAGGGTGGACAACTGCTGCATTTCCCACTCACAGCCACTGTTGGGGGCACGGGGGCGCACCCAGCTGCTTCCTGGTCACCTGCTGCTGAGGCCCATCTGCCCACGGAGCAGAGTGGAGGTGGGTGGAGGGGGTGGGTGGAACCCCGGCAGGAAAGGTGGAGGCCTGGCAGGGCCAGCTGCCCATGGCAGGAGTGAATGGCTGGGACAGCCTCTGACGCCCCTACAGGTCCCCCCAGGACAGGCCCTCCTAGTGGGAGTTGAGGGACAGAGGTGGCACACCCCGTCAGGGTCGGTGCATTTACCAGGAGTAAAGGCCCAGGGGATGGGGGGCTTACTGGAAGCCAGACCCTCAGGCAGGCACAGGGTGTGAAGAAAGCAGGGCCAGTGCAGCAGAGCCTCGGTTCCTTCCCCCTTGCAGTGCCCTCAGCCCCAGCTGCTATTCTCCCCTCTCCCAGCATACCTGGCCTGCCCTCCAACACTCCCCTGTGTCCAGAGCAAAGGAGGGGAGGCTACGCAGAAGGTCATCATGCAGGGACACCTGAGGTGGCGAGGGCCCTCCACAGCAGCCGGTGTGGCCTGTTATGGCATAGCCTGGGATGGTGCAGCCTAGCCCAGTGTGGCATGGCCCAACGTGGTGTGGTGTGGCCTGGTGTGGAGTGGACTGGTGTGGGGTGGCGTGGCGTGGCCCGGGGTGGTGTGGCCCCCACATGGGACTCTTCCCCACCCTGAATCTGAGTGAGAGCTGTCCTACTGACTGGACAGCACATGGTGCTGGCAGCTTTTTGAACTTTTGCAACCCTTGCTCCTGCAATTTCTGCTGAGGCCGTCTTTTGCTCTGGTTGTCAACCATCTGACCTTCTGTGAGTCACACTCCTGTCAGCCGCTCCCTTGTCTTCCAGGCTATGGCTCTCTCTTACTGTTGAGTTAGGGTCTTTCTGTGTTCTAGAAGCTGGTCTCTGGTGGTGTATTTCGCGAGTTGCTTTCCCGGCCTGTGACCTGTCTTTTCACTTTGTACAGAATCTTCCATTTCACTGGAGGTTTTGATTTTTTTTAATGAGAGATGAGGCCGGACTCGGTGGCTCAGCCTGTAATCCCGCACCTTTGGGAGGCTGAGGTGAGTGGATTGCCTGAGCCCGCGGGTTCAAGACCCGCCTGGGCTACTTGGCGAGACCTCCTCTCTACAATAAATCAAACTAGCTGGGCGTGGTAGTGCGTGCCTGTAGTTCCAGCCCCTTGGAAGGCTGAGGCGGAAGGATCGCCGGAGCCCAGAAGGCCAAGGCTGTGGTGGCTGGGAGCGGCCACGGCACTCCAGTCTGGGGGACAGAGTGAGACTCCAGCTCAAAAAAAAAAATGAGAGATGAGGTCTTGCTATGTTTCCCAGGCTGGCCTTGAACTCCTGAGCTCCTGCCTCAGCCTCCTGAGTAACTAGGACTACAGGTGCATCCTGCCATACCACCTAATTTTTTCTTTTTTCTTGAGTTGGAGTCTCACTCTGTCCCCCAGACTGGAGTGCCGTGGCCGCTCCCAGCCACCACAGCCTTGGCCTTCTGGGCTCCGGCGATCCTTCCGCCTCAGCCTTCCAAGGGGCTGGAACTACAGGCACGCACTACCACGCCCAGCTAGTTTGATTTATTGTAGAGAGGAGGTCTCGCCAAGTAGCCCAGGCGGGTCTTGAACCCGCGGGCTCAGGCAATCCACTCACCTCGGCCTCCCAAAGTGCGGGATTACAGGCTGAGCCACCGAGCCTGGCTCTAATTTTCTTTTTTGTAGAGATGAGGTCTTGCTCTGTTACTAAGTCTGGAATGCAGTGATGTGATCATAGCTCACTGCAGCCTCAATCTCCTGGGCTCCAGTGATCGTCTCTTCTCAGCCTCCCAAACAGCTGGGATTGCAGGCATGAGCCCCTGTACCTGGCTGGATTTTTATTTTAATGTAGTCAAATGTACCAATCTTTCCTTTTATGATTTCTGTCTTCCTGTGTTGTCTAGAAAGATCATTCGCTCCTCAATTGTAAACCTGGCTTTGTATTTGCTTCAGAAAGTGTAAGGCTTGCTTCTTCCAGAGAGGGTTCTAGCCCATTTGGAACTGCCATGGGGTGGGATAGAGCTGGCCTCCCCTCTGTCTCCTCTTTCTGCAGGGTTCATGACCAGGCAGGCCAGACCAGGGAACCAAGTATGCAGTGGCACTCCCACAGAGCCAGCTTCTGTCCTGCACCCCCTCGGGACCCCGTCCTTACTGGGTTTTTTTGTTTGTTTGTTTGTTTGTTTTGAGTTGGAGTCGCACTCTGTCGCCCAGACTGGAGTGCAGTGGCCGCTCCCGGCCACCGCAGCCTCGACCTGCTGGGCTCCGGCGATTCTTCTGCCTCAGCCTTCCGAGTAGCCGGAATTACAGGCATGCACTACCACGCCCGGCTGATTTTTTGATTTATTGTAGAGATGAGCTCTCGCTGCCTAGGCGGGTCTCGAACCCTCAGGCTCAGGCAATCCACTCACCTCGGCCTCCCAAAGGCGCGGGATTACAGGCTGAGCCACCGAGCCCGGCTCATCCTTACTGTTAAAAGGACATTTTTTCCTGGATATCCAACCCCGATCCAGACTCTCACTTCATGCTCTAGATCTGCAAAAACCCCTATTTCCAAGCAAGGTCCCTTTCTGAGGGTTCAGGGGGAGGAAACTCTCAACCCACATTCGGGCACCATCCACCCATATGACCTGTGCCACATATCCCCAACGTCTTCTGACCACGCCATCCATGCCAGAGCTCCCAGGTCCTGCCCCAGTCTCTGTTCCGGCCTCTGCCCTGGCATCCCTCCTCCCCTGGTCCCACACATCTTGCCTGGGGCCGTCAGCACCCGCTGCCTCTGTGTGGGACAGGCCCCCGGTGGAGCTCACTCCGCAGCCAGTCGTGCCGTGTGGGAAGCCCTTGAAAACCAGGCTGGGCCGCCGGCACTCATCCCCTCTCACCCGCAGTTCGAGGAGCTGGTGTACCTGTGGATGGAGAGGCAGAAGTCGGGGGGCAACTACAGCCGCCACCGTGCGCAAACCGAGAAGCACGTGGTCCTGTGCGTGAGCTCGCTCAAGATCGACCTCCTCATGGACTTCCTCAACGAGTTCTACGCCCACCCACGGCTCCAGGTGCACTTCCCTCGAGGCCACAGGGCCTCCCAGCACTGCCTGGCAAATCGTGCATGCTCTCGACCTCAGGTCCCCCTCCAGCGGGGGTGGCAGCCCACACTGCAGGGTCCCCACAGGCCCTCCTGCCAGATGTGAGACCATGGTGAGGCCCAGGGCCACCTCAAGGCAGGGGTGCGAAATTCCCCGGAGAGTGGGTCGTGCCAGGGAAGGCGCGCCCTCCAAGGGTCTGACCCCAGCCTGGCCTACAGGACTACTATGTGGTCATCCTGTGTCCCACCGAGATGGACGTCCAGGTGCGCAGGGTCCTACAGATCCCCCTGTGGTCCCAGCGGGTCATCTACCTCCAGGGCTCTGCGCTAAAGGACCAGGACCTCATGAGAGCCAAGTGAGCTTGGTGAGGGGTTGGGGGGGCAGGGCATGGCCAGGCAGGTCGCAGCTGGGCCATCTTCCTGACATAGGCCCTCATGGCCATGGGTGCAGACCTCAGCCAGCCATCCGGTGAGCTGCTCCAAGCAGGGGTTCCCCAGGGTAGGTGGCCAGAGACTCTCGTCCAGATAGGAGCAGGGCCAGCTGGAGTGGACCTTCCAGGGGATGTCCAGCTCCTGTCCCTGACCCAGGTAAGTGGGACCCACAGCCAGACCCTTCGCCCACTGCAGAGTGACCTGGGAAAGCCTCCCTGGGCGGAGTCTTGGTCTTCCTTCTGCTGGGTGAGGGGTCAACCTTCCGGAACACCCACTCTGTGCTCTGAGTCAGGGTAGTTTTTCTCGTCAGGTTCTAGGAAGGCTCAAAATAGATTAGGGCAGTGAGTCAAGGCGGGGGACGGGGACTGAGGGCGGAACTTCCCTTTAAAGACAAGCTGACAGAGCTACTGAGGCGACAGGAGTGCACTGCTACCTGGAACTTTCCAGAATATACTGGCGCGCTTCCTGGGAGGGCCAAGTTTGCGTTCCAGGACCCTGGGCATGTCCATGGCATCTTGGGGGTTGTGCACCCAAGGTCCCTCCGGCCATCGTCCTGAGCCCTGAGAGCTGAGGACCTGGGCCAGCAATGAGGGTACACGGTCCTGTCTGTGATCCTGTCCCTGGCTCACAAGGGGGTGATGCACCTGCTTGAGACCAGCTCCAGGCCCTCGGGGCACAGGCAGAGAAAGTGCAGGGCCAGGCAGGCCAAGCTCAGGGCAGTGGATGCAGGTCCTGGGGCCCAGTGGGGCAGGCAGTGGTGCAAGTGACATGCTGGGTCTTCAGGTCCCTGGAGTGAGAGGGGCAGTCTCCTGGACAGGCTCTCGGGAGACCCAGGAGTGGAGCTGGACGTGGTCACCCGGTTTCCCAGAGCACAGGAGAAGCCCAGCCAGAAAAGGGACAGGTTCTCTGCCCCCAAGCACTGCCCTCATTCCTGTGCCCCAGCCCAGCCTCAGGTTAACAGGGACTCAGAAGGAGCCCCCAAAAGCCAGCATCCTAGGTTAACAGGGACCCAGGAGGGACCCCCCAAAGCCAATGTCCCACCCCAGCCCTGGGTTAACGAGGACCCAGGAGGGGCCTCCTGAAGCCAGCACCCAGGTGGGGTCAACTGCCTGAGTGCCCAGATGGTTGGCACAGTGAGGTAAGGTCTCCATGGGGCCCACCCTTTCCAGCCATGATCCCTGACTCCTGATCTCTGAGACACCAGACCAGAGTTTGAACAGATCCGGCAGCCCCTGACCAGCAGATCCCCTTAAACGGCCTCCTGACACCCTTCCTACCCGGGCAACCCCAGGGACAGCTGGGGCGGAGGTTCAGAGGCCAGAGTCTGTAAGGGGAGGGGAGACGTTTTCCTGGAAAGCACAGCTGCTGGTCCGTACCAAGGCCTGGAAAAACTGGTGTCCTCACTGCTGCCAGCCAGTGTCTCCAGGACAAGCGCCCATGGGCACCACTCCCTGGCCCCCTCCCTGTCAGTCTGTGAGTGCTGGGGGGCTGGCCTGGCTGGTGTGCCTCGGCCAGTGTCCCAGCTTGGACTCTCCCTAGGGTGCCCCAAGTCCTGACCTGGCCCTGAGCCTGCCAGAGAGGGGCCAGGGAATCTGGAGAGACCCAGGGCGCCTACTGGGGGGACACAGGGTGGCCTGCGTGGGCCAGGCCTCACCCGGAAGGAGGAGCCTCCCCTGGTGTCCCTCCTCCTACCCACCTGCCTCACGCCTCCACCCCTACTGGCCAGCGCTCAGCCTTGGTGCCTTGCAGGATGGACAATGGGGAGGCCTGCTTCATTCTCAGCAGTAGGAATGAGGTGGACCGCACAGCTGCGGTGAGTGAACCCGCCCATTCCAGGCAGGGGAGGGCACAGCAGGGCAGGGGCACAGCAGGGCAGGGTGCAGGCCACAGTCCTGAGAGCGGGGACCTTCCAGGCTTGTGGCCCGCCCACCCACATGGCAGGTGGCTCCACACTGACCTCCCCACCTCCACCCACCAGGACCACCAGACCATCCTGCGTGCCTGGGCCGTGAAGGACTTTGCTCCCAACTGCCCCCTCTACGTCCAGATCCTCAAGCCCGAGAACAAGTTCCACGTCAAGTTTGCGGGTACGTCTTGGGGAGGGGTGCATGCATGCAGGTGGGGGTGGGGCATGTGTATGCAGGTGGGGGAGAGACATGAATGCATACAGTGGGGGAGGGGCCCTCCCAGAGTTCTGCAGGAGAGCACAAGTAGGCGCAGGGGGCGTGGACCCTTTCCCTCACCACATCCGAGGGAGAGGGCCAGGTGGGTCCAGCCTTTCAAGGTGAAAGGTCCTGTGCTGGGGCCCTGGATCAGTGAAGGCAGGAGCCAGGGCCAGGGGTGGTGCCGGGAGCACTGTTGGAAGGGCACTCCATGGGCAGGCTCCACGCCGAGCTCCTGGAGACAAGCAAGCAGGGCCCACCATGCGCTCCTGGGAACGGGGCGGGGGAGCAGGGCCCAGGCAGGGCTCCTGGGACCCGTGGGCGGGACCCCAACCTTGGCGCACTCAATGACAAACAGCAACTGCCCCATAGAGACCCACTCCCCAGGATGGAGCTCCTGGAACCCATCGGCCGGCCGTATGACAGTTTGCCCAGCAGATGGGGGTGGGCTCTCAGCGGGCACCAGCATGGAGGAACCCACACACTGGGGAGGGTTGAGTGCTGGGGGAGGCTGACGCTGCTGCCCTGCAGACCACGTGGTGTGTGAGGAGGAGTGCAAGTACGCCCTGCTGGCGCTCAACTGCATCTGCCCGGCCACCTCCACCCTCATCACCTTGCTGGTGCACACGTCCCGCGGCCAGTGAGTGCCCCGCGCCCCGACCGACTGCCACGCCCTGGCCAGCGCAGGGAGACAAGGCAGGGCCTGCGTGGGGGCGGGGGCTCACCATCCAGGCCGTGGGCGGTCTTCCTAGAGGAGGGGGTGCGTGCGTGGGGGTGGGGGCGCATGTCCCGCCCAGGGGACATTTGCAGACCCGGGCGGGAGAGGCGGCCCTGGTGGGAGGTGACGGTCCCCGGCCCTACTCTGGCCCGCAGGGAAGGACAGGAGTCACCCGAGCAGTGGCAACGCATGTATGGGCGCTGCTCGGGCAACGAAGTCTACCACATACGCATGGGCGACAGCAAATTCTTCCGCGAGTACGAGGGCAAGAGTTTCACCTACGCGGCCTTCCATGCCCACAAGAAGTAAGGCCTGGGCTGGCGGTGGGGCGGGGCCTGCGGGCGTGGGTACTCCTGGGACTTGTCAATCACGTCCCCGCTGAGGTCCAGGTCAGGCAGGTGGGGCTCGAGGCCAGGGGCTCCAGAGGCTGAGATGAGAGCATCGTGCCCAAGGGTCATGCCCACCTGGTGTGGACGGCCCAATCCGGCAGTCTCGGGGTTGGGCATCAGTGTCCACGTGGGAACCTGCGGGGTGGCCTCTGTCTGAGGCTCTCATGAGGCTGACCTCAGGCCTGTGGGTCCCCAGCGCCTGTGAGGGAGGTGGGCCGAGGGCCCTGACTCCATGGGGCCTCCAGGAGCCTGGCTGGGGTCAACAGGGGCCCCCGGGGAGGCAGGCGGGCACAGGTGGCGCAAGAAGCTGGCAGCCCCTCCCACAGGTATGGCGTGTGCCTCATCGGGGTGAAGCGTGAGGACAACAAGAGCATCCTGCTGAACCCGGGGCCGCGGCACCTCCTGGCCGCCTCCGACACCTGCTTCTACATCAACATCACCAAGGAGGAGAACTCGGCCTTCATCTTCAAGCAGGAGGAGAAGCAGCAGCGGAGGCAGGGGCTGGGCGAGGGGCCCTCCCGCCTGCCCGTGCACAGCATCATTGCCTCTATGGGTGAGGTGGGGACCCCGGGCCGGGTGGGGGCAGGGGAGACCCTGCCTGAGGATCTGTCTCTTCCCGGCCTGCCCCCCATCTGGGGCAAGTCGAGGCTCTCCGGGTCTCAGTTTTCAAATCTGCCAACTGGGCTGCCCTACTTTTCTCTGTCAGCATCGGTCAGTGGGTTCAAGTGAATGGCCGCCCTGGGTCAGGGGTCACTGGGAGCCTCTGGCCTTGGGGTGCCTAGACTAGGCAGCTGCCCTGGGGTGCTAAGTCGGAAACCCCTGGTGGTCCCCTCAACCCAAAGGTTTCCTTATGCTTGTCCCTTAGATAGGTCAAAGCTCTGATGTCCACTGGGGCCGGAAGTCTGCTGGTCGAGATCAAAACTGGCAGCCAGGCATGGTGGCTTAGTCTATAATCCCAGCACTTTGAGAGGTTGAGGCAAGAGAATCGCTTGAGTTCAGGATTTTGAAACCAGCCTGGGCAACATAGCGAGACCTCACCTCTATAAAATAACAAAAAATTAGCCAGGTGTTGTGGTGTGGGCCTGTAGTCCCAGATACTCGGGAGGCTAAGGCAGGAGGAACACCTGAGCCTAGAAGGTCGAGGCTGCGGTGAGCCTTGATTGTGCCACTGCACTCCAACCTAGGCGACAGAGACCCCGACTCAAAGATAAAAGGAAAAAAACTAAGCTGGGCTCAGTGGCTCAGCCTGTAATCCCTTTGGGAGGCTGAGGTGAGTGGATTGCCTGAGCCTAGGCAGGTCTCTACAATAAATCAAAAAATCAGCCGGGCGTGGTAGTGCACGCCTGTAGTTCCAGCTACTTGGAAGGCTGAGGCGGAAG